CTACACAGCTGTCCTGCTCTTGGTCCTCTGGGAGCAGCACCCAGGACCTGGGGATCATAGGAGGGGGTAGGAGGTGCTTGCTTGACTGGTGTGGGGGCTGTCTGCACTCCCGTCCCCTTGGGGACACCAGCATCACCCGCACTGGCGCCTTTCTGCAGCAGGAGAGGGTGTAGATGCCCTGTGTGGCTTGCATCCACCCCGAGGTCTTTCACTTCTTCTGGTAAGGGATTGAAGGTCCTAGGCTTACCCAATGGGCAAGTCCCAGGGGTGGCCTCCCCCTGGGGCGTGGACACTCTGCATATTCTCCTTGGGCAACCCTACCTAGGACCGCCCATTCAAGGCTGGGTACCTCTGTGGCCCCTGCCACGAGCTGGAAGGATGCTGTCAGGGAATGTGGTGGAGCCCTCCCTGTCCCTGGTCCTCCAAGGGGCAGGATGAGAGCATCTTGCCACAGCCAGGAGGCCATGACCAGGCCCATGCATGGGGGTGTGGGACCAAGGATGCCAGTAAGCAGTGTCTTGCTCCTCACCAAGTGAACTGAGGCTGTTTCAGAGAGGAACAGGATGCTGTCTGCCACATCCCTCAAACCCAGCACGACTTGCCTTCCCTGGGGGAAACCCTGCCCTTTCTGGACACTTCTGCTCCCTCTCCAGCATCATGGAGCTGAAGCTGTCCCAGCAGTTGGATAAATGCCATGCAGTGCCTGTCACGTAGGTCACCACTGCAGCCATTCAAACCTGGTCCCAACTGACTGCTTCCTCTGTGCCACCTGAAAACCAACAGGTTCACTGGGTCTGCTGGCCAGGAGGTGACACAAAGCAGCCTGTGCAACTGGGCTGCTTGAGGGCACCTGGAAACATGGAGTAGACAAGGTTTGCTTCACTCCAGCCTATGTCCCACCTGTGCTCATGGTGGAGCATCCCTGGGCTGGCATCCAGTGCTAAATGATACGGGAGATGATGCGCCAAGAGCTGCATCCTCACTGCTCTGCTGCTCCACCGTGGTGCTGAGCTGCTGCTGGCTTTGTTTTCACAGGGTTGCAGACCAGTTTTAATGGGTTAATATAAATAAGCTTAATATAACTTAAGGACACTGGAGAACAAGGTAGGACCTCTTTTTGTTCCTGTTTGATGTCTTTTAGGTGAGGCAAAGCACTGCTAGAAGCAGGAGTATCAGCCTACAGCACCCACGGGGATGCCATGTTTCCTGCACTGCCCTTCTAGGGTGGCATTTAGCTAATCCTGGTCCCTCCACTTTGCTGTCATTCTGTGTGCTGCTCTGGCAGAGACAGATGACCCTGTGTTTACCGTAACCATGTTGCTCAAATACCAAAGGGCAAGGTTTCTGGGAAATCAGAATACTGCCCAAATTTAACACCCCAAAGCCAATAGTACCGTGGTCATCTAAGCACAGGAAGCACCGGCCATGAAATCTGAGGTGTGTCAGAGGTGCTGCTCACACCCACAGCTTTTTAAAGTCCCATTTTCAGCTGTGAGCGGCACCACCTCACGTTCCCAGTGCCTGGCGTAAGCGTGACTCAGGCCTGACTCACACGGCGTCACGATGAGTCGCAACCACCCACCCACCCACCCTGCAAGGAGTCCCCTTTTCCCCCAGCCAACCTGTCCCTCTGCCACATCTCCTCGTACCTCCTGGGGCTCAGGGAGCCTCCATTCACAACCGCTGCCCTTGGAGACATCTCAGCATCCCGTGGTTGCTTAGCCGTGTCAGACACCACCCACCCACCCTGCAAGGAGCTGTGCCCACCCGCTCCCCATCCCACTCCAGCACTCCCAGTGCTGCCCACGGGGCAGGAAAACAAGCTCCAAAAGTGAAAACTTGCCCCAGAAAAAAAATCAAGCTGCAGCAGGGCTGCTGGCCACCGGCCGTGTCGGCAGGGATGTGCAGGGGCAGGATGTGGTACACACACAGAAAGGAGCAGTTTTCTTTGGGCTGCTGCTGGGGATGCCTGGATTTAACTGTTGGTAAAAAAGCAGAGAGGAAGACAAGAGACGGAGCATGTTGGACCCACCACAGCTGAAGCTCACCTGGTGAACCAAGCTGAAAGCCAGCAGGAGAAGGCAGCTGCTGCAGCATCTGGCGCCGTAAGAAACCTCGTGGAGTCTGATTTTATGCTAAACTTTTTTAACTGTTATCATTACAACCATGTAAAACACAGCATCAAATACTCCGGACAGTCTGCTTGGATCAGCGTAAAAAGGAATGATTGACTTTTTCTTTTCCCAAAAAAACTTCCCTACAAAAAAAACCCCAAACCAACCCCAAAAAAGCACAGATGTAAAAATGTTTTGTTTTTTTTTTAAAGTAATAATTATAATACATTAGAAGGAGTCATGGAAGAAGCGTTCCACGCTGTAAACAAGAATAGCAATTAAAAAGAAAAGCAGATGGTAGCCAGGCTCTCAAAGTGCATGGCCGAGAGACCCTGACCTTGCCCGCCGTCCCACGCTGGAGCTGGTCTCCATGGCTCCCGCTGCCACAGCCAAAGTGCTCAATTACAAACCAACACCCCCCACGTCTCCCCCCCAGCCCCGCAACGATGCTACATGGAGGGCAGTGAGGCAAAAGCCATCCCAGGGCTGCGAGGGCAAGGATGGGGTGGGGGGGCTGCTTTCCTGAGTTTGCTCGTGGCAAGAGTGGCTTTTGCTACGGGTCTGGGGCAGGGGTGCAAGTGGCTTGGGCCAGTTATTTGTCCTGTTGAGCTGCCATTCTCACCCGTCTCCTTCCTTTGCTCTCCCCAGCGAAAGAGCTGAGGCTGGGCCATGTCCTGCCCACCCCTGCTGCCACAAACCCTCCATGGCCATACCTTCATCTGCAGCAAGAGGCAGAGGAGAAAGGCTCTGTCATCTCCTAGTAGATTATGCTTTGATGTGCTGAAGTGAGAGCATCACTCCAAGGAAAGCAATGCACGTTGATGGCTCCAAGCCAGCTCCAGCCAGGCTACTTTGCCCCAGGAACTCTTCCCAAACCTGCCAGCTTTCATGGGCTGCAGGTTGGAGAAGAACTTCTTAGATGAACAGTGAGGAGGATGAAGGCCTTCCCAGCCAGAAGCACACTGGTGGGAGGGGGTGAGCCTGTGTCTGCCTGGTCCAAAGATTACTGAAAGCAGCTGGTGGCTTTCCCCAGGCTTGGTAGGTGACCAAGGACCTTGGTGCTCATCCCATTCAGGGCTTGGAGGGGAGAAAGCCCCCAAATTCTTGTAGAACACCATGCACCAAACACCACGCTATGGCTACTGGGCATTTGACAGCTCTCCAAAATTAGAGCAAACCACCTTTTAAAACATGAATACTGCAAAACATCCCAGACACATGCTGGGTGAGGAGCCTGGACACATACAACATGATGTGCAAAGGCTGTGTCCCCAAAATGAGGAGGAAAAGGTCAAAATGAGGGGAAAGAGGTCTCAGCTCTTGCACGCGCAAACCAAATGCTCAGATGTCTTAGCAGGAGTCCTGTGTGTGCTTCAAAGAGAGGACAAGACCCCCAAGCTACAGAAACCAAGCCAAGAGGTGATCACCAGCTCCCAGATACATTGCTTTCCAGCAATCTCCAGGGCTGCCAGTGAAAGGCAATCGATACCTGTCCTGAAATAGTTCCCAGCTATGTTAACACACAAATAGGCTTAACTACTGTACGGTTACTGAAAAACGTACTCTAAATAAAAACCAGTTGAAGCACCGTTGTCCTAGAAAGGACCTGTGGTGTCTTAAAACACGAATACTGAACATTCATACAGCATTTCTCAAAGAGCAACTCTCGACTCCTCACAACACCCCTGCGAGGTAGCTAATAGGGTTATCCCTGCTTTGCAGAGGGAGAGAGGTTGGGCAAGGTTGGAGACTCAGGAGAAGATGGGGTTTCTGACAGAGCAGGGGGTTGCAACATAAGCTGAGGGTGCTGTGGTTTGGCTGGACACATCCAAAGATGGGGTGCTCCCTTTGGCGCTCTCCCTGCTGCTAACAAACCACCACATGCACATACACCAAAAAAACCTGATAAACCCCACAAAGTAGTTTAATGGAAGTTTTCTGCTGGGCTACCAGGTAGGCTTAGGTATGTTACTGAAGCAGCCTACGACATAAAAATCAGTTTTCAAAGTCCTAGAACTTAAAGGAGCTTTGCCCAGGGTCTCCACTGAAGGGATGGGAATCCCACTTGCAATCGCATCTAAGGTGGCATCTGCAGCCACCCCTTCTGGCCAGCACAGTCTAACACAGCACACCTGGACTAGTTTATTTCCTGCTGCTTCCACTGATCTGCCTTCCTCATGAGATCCCTTCACCTGTAGGGGTGAAGTAGATAATAGGAACAGCAGTTTGGACCAGCTCTTTCAGTGGGATGAGCTGTCTCTGGGTCCCTGCACAACTCCAGCCAATGGTTTGAGCTGTGCAGCAACACCACCATGAGATGGGGAGGAGATGGTCAGGCCACTCAGGACTTGGTGCATGACAGGCAAGCAGGCACCCACTCCTCAGCAGTGTTCTGTGGTGACATTGATGCTCTACAGCATCATCTTCCAAACCTCTGTGCCCAAGTTTCCTTCCGTAGTTTAGATTTCTAGGGGGGCTAAACCAGAAGGGCTGAGATCAGGCTCTGGGCAATGTGCTCCCCTTTCCCAACTCTTACGCTATTTTCACTCTGACACTTAACTTGCTTAAAAGTGGGCCTCAGGTTAGGCACCCCTATCAGACACCATCACATCTCCAGCAGCTTGCTAGTGAAGACAGGAGGCTTCCCAAGGTGGCAGCCCCTTTTCCTGCTCAGCCAACGGGAGGGCAGCGAGCCCGCTCGCCGCCCTGCACCTGCGAGGGAAAGGCCAGCAGAAAGGCCATGCAGCCCAAGAGACCAGGCTCAACCTTCACCCTTGTCACCTTGAAAACCTGGGAAAGAACCACCCTTGTGGCAGCTCTCCACTGGGGTCACACTGAGGAGATGGCCCCAGGGATTCACTGGCTGTTAACCCTCCCCTCCAGGACACCATCCGGCGCTGGGGCAGGAGCTGGGCACCCGTCTGTGGAATTGCATAGAGGAGGCAGCGGGGCTGCCCGTGCCCTGCCGGGATGCCCTGATGCTGCCTGAAAACACTGCTGCCCACCACCGCGGGGCTGGGAGAAGAAATAAAAAGATCTATTGCTACAAAGGCCTTTGAAAGCAACGCTGTCGGCTGCACCGATAGGGGGTTTTAAAGAAAGCGTTTCGGACTCCTATGCCTGGTGCCCACTTCCACGGCCACGGGTACTCACGGCAGGCAGCAGAAGAAAACATGCAACACATTCACCAGCTCTGCCTCTCCCCTGACACGCAAGAAGGCTTGGGGAGCTTCAATGAGACACAAAAATGAAAGCGCTTTCCAATTTGTCCATAGGGAAGATGCAAACCCAATTTGCTGGTGCCTCCTGGCGCCGGCGGTCACCGCTCCATCGCCTGGCCGGGCGCTCGTACCAAAGCACAGCTCGACAGGCGGTGGCTGCTGTGCTGTCACCTCCACACAGCCCTGCTGAAGGGAGAGGTCCCGAAAACGGGATGTGGGTGCTGCTCCAGCACCCGCTTCCTCTCCCTTGCCTCCCCCCTATCCCGTCCCCACTAAAACGTCACCGATTTGGGCAGCTTTGCCAGGGGAGGAGAGCCCGAAAGGAAACTGTTCTCTGAGCGGGATTTGGCAACCTGTGGTGGTAATTTTGGTTTGGGGCTCAGGGGGGGTCGCGGGGCTTTCAGTGCGTTCAATGGTTTCTGGAGGCTTTTTTGGGCATCCACCTCCTCTGGGTCTGGCGCAAGAGGGGGTGCCGTGGGGGTGGCGGGCAGGGGACGCCCAGTCTCCAGCAGAGGCAACGCCACCTGCTTTCTGTTTGAGAAGTCCTGTTCCGTGGCGTGGGCCAGGTGAAGGGGGGTGGTGGTTTTGATGATGGTGTAGGGGCTGTTCCCCTCCACCGCAGGGGATGGCGCCTGCTGGAAGGGGCAGCCCTCGCCCAGCCCTTCTGCCTCCAGCTCGCCACCGGACAGGATGGGCACGCTGCCACCAGCCAGGCCCTGTGCAGGTGATGTCCCCAAGCCCTCCGGCCAGCACGTGGGGCTGGTGGGGCTCCCTGGCCCATTCTGCTGCAGGTTGGCAAGCTCCCCTGTAGATGCAGCTTTGGAGGCCAAGCGCTTCCAGTCCGTTTTGTCCAGCAGCACCGCTCTGCAGCGTTTCTTGGGCATCTCCTCCTCGTGCTTGCTCTCGGGGGACCCGTCGTGCTGCGATGCACTGGAGAGCTGCTGCCAGCTGCCCGGCAGAGGATGAGGGGGTGCATCAAGTGCTTTCTCTTCACAGAGGGAAGATGCTTGTTCTTCCACTGTCAGGGCAGCAGGATTTGGCTGCCATACCGCGTGGTCCGTAGCAGAAAGCTCAGCGGTGCTTGAGTCAGGAGGACTTGGCGTGTTTTGGAGAGAGGAGTCCGAGGAGCCATCCTTGGCTGGGACGGGAAGGGAGACTGGCTCGTGATCCACCACGGCATGGCTGGGAACGAGAACAGGCTGCTCTGGAGGCAGGAGGTGGTGATGGGCCTGCGTTTCATTTGCCTTCAAAAGAAATGGGGGCTGCCTGTCCTTGGTGGGCTCCACGCGGCCCTCCTCTCCCGGCGGCTCCTCACCAGGAGGATGCAGGTTGATGTTGGTCGCTTCAGCTGCTTCACCTTGGAGGGTGGGAGTCCTCTCCTCCACCACCATTGTCTCTCCCGGCGCCCCGGGACCTCTGTGGGGATGTGGCTCCCTGTCCAGGTGGCGCTCACCCACCTGGCCATTCTGGCCGTTGGCTGCCACATTGCCTTTCAGGGCTACTGGGTTGAGGGAGAGCTCCAGGCCCAGGGGTTTCCGTGGGAACTCCTCAGGCTTTGCTGCATTGGAAGCAGAGAAAACAAAATAAAACCCAAACTGTGCATTAGTTTGTTTTTGCATCCGGCATGCCCTGACCGTGGGGGAGGCAGATGCTGCACCCAGGGGGTGCCAGCCCTTCTGGGCTGCCCCGGCTCCCAGCCACACCAAAGGGATGCTCTGCTACCAGGGGACACAGGTACCAGGGGACACTGGCCTTTCCCGCTGGGCTGCCCACCTTCCCCTCTACCCACCTGGTGGGGGGAGGTCAAATTTCATCTTGCGCAGCTCGGTCATGGACACCTGCAGCTGCTCGATGACAGCATCGTCCTCGTACTGCAGGGAAGCAGCAATTTTCTCCTGCAGAAATTCCCGTAAATCTTCCAGCGACATCTTCAGCAAGCGCTCTGGGGGACGGTAGAAAAGAGTAATGGTAGTGGCACAGCCAAACTGCAGGGTAACATGAATTGCTTTGGTTTCATTTGGGATTCTGTTGCTGTTCCCTCTTCAATACGGGACAGCCTGAATGTTTTTGTGTCTCTCCCACCTTCCCACTGTTGCTCAGGGTTGTTGATACATTTACATATCTGTACCACACCTCTGGGCAGTAGCTCAGCAATGGCAGGATGATGGTGGGGCTCAGATTTATGCGGGCAAGGATGCACATTTTAGGCCACTTCTGGAAGTTCTCACGAATACCTCTAGGAGGAGGAAAAGCTCCATGAGATAGACCCCGAGCGTCAGACTGAACAGCCACTGCCAGCAGCCGCCACCACCAGCCAGGGATGCCAAACTGCACCAGCCAGCAGGCAGGGATGCAGACAGGGATGCTCACCCACGCCAGGGATGCAGACAAGGATAGGATGCAGGCAGGAACGCCGATCCGCACCACATCCCTCAGGGAGGAGAGATGATTTCACAGTCAGGCTGAAACTTCTGCCTGACTGCCAGTTTCCCAGTCTTTGCAAACAAGTGGGATACTTGAAGATATATTTCTGGATAGCCTGTTCTTCATTCAACTGAAGGAAGAGCAGGGTGGCTGTTTGCAGAAGCCAACAGACACAATCCCATAAATGCCACTGACCCAAAGGTTCCCAGCATGCTATATCAGCATCACTCCTGTCCCACATTAAAGACTTAACAGGGCAACAAAGCAAAGCTGCTAGCTTATGGGAGTGGAGGGGTTCAAAGTCTCAAAGATCTCGAGGTAGAAACATCACTGTCTTAATGTTATGTAAGAAAACCCGGGTTCAGTCATTTTAGAAGTATATTAATGGATTTACTTCTCCCTCTACAGCCTTTTCAGCTGAACTGCCACACGGAGCTTTGCAGACAGATGGGTTGCTGTCTGTATTGCCCATAAATCTGTGTTGATAAAAGACGTGGGGTGCAGCATGCAGAAAGAAGCAGCTGGGAGAGTTCCACGTGGGGTTTGCTATCCACTGAGTGCAGGATTTCAACCCGTGTATCATTTCGCTGCCTCCCTGCAGCATCAGCACAGGACTGTGCCTTTTGGAGCCAGCACAGGGCAGCAAGCAGGCTGGCAGTGGCCAGCAAGCAGGCTGGTGGTGGCCAGCAAGGCTTTCTGGGTCAGCAGCACAAGGGTGGCCCAGCACAGTGCCACCTCTGCTATACGAGATGTGCTCTGCTGGGACCTTACTTTTGTGCAGTTTGAGGATGGTGTAAGCCATGGCCGTCAGCACGCGCTCTCCTTCCAGGATGTAGATATCCCACAGCCGCAAGGTGAGGGTGAAGGGGGTCTGTTTCAAACACATAAACAATAAACCAGCTCGTCAGCACCACACTCCCTAGCACTGATTGATGGGATGATAATACAGAGGATAGTGGCATCACTATGTTGCCTCTATCAAAATACACAACAGCATGAGGCACGGGATGTCCAGGATTCATTGATAACACAAAACTGTATTTTAACATCTATGGTTTTGCCTTAAAGCCTTGGATGACCGGGAAAGTACTTAAAACCCAGCCGAGAATGCCAAAAAAGGAGCAGCTTTCCACACAGACATACCAGCACATGGATTCTGCTACTCTGGAGGGAGTACCTTTCAGCCTTGGGGGTGCACAAAACCCCTCCTCTATCCATAAAAATTGCCCAAACAGATGAAGGGCTGTATATGGCCCAATGGTGCTTCACTAAGCATTAAAAACCCCACTCCTTTGGTGTCTAGAAAAGTGGTCTTCCTTATACACAGGCTTATTTCTACCTGCTAGAAAAACCTCTGCAATCAGGAGTGAACCAATAGCCAAAACGATGCAGCAGCCCATCATCTCTCAGCAAAGATTTAAGGCATCTCACCAACACAGAAATTAATACTAGTTCTACTGTGAGATTTAAGTTCATATTTAGGATGCTTCAACTTGCTCTCTGTACTTTAGCACGGCTGGCTGTTGCAGCTCTTTTACCACCTTATTGCAGTTAAAAGGATTTTACACTTTACACAGCTTTTAGTGACAGACTGCAAAGCAGCGAGTTCCCTCTCGAGGGAAAGAAGTCATCCACTCTTTTACAGAAGGGGCAGCAGAAAACTAAGACTGGGGACACACAGATGTCCTAAACATTAGCAAGTCTGGATCTTACGACCACGTGTGCAAGCACAACGCTGCCCCTAAAAATAAAGTAGTCTTGGCTCAGGACTGGCAAATTAGCTCTGGACAAATCAGGGTAATTTTCTCACGCTTTCATGTGTCTCCAGTGCTGAGCCCGCTCCTTTGCCTGCAGCTGCTACAGTGCTATTTGTTCAGGTTTGTGCCTTGAGCTCTTTTTCTCCCTACACTGTTTCCAGAGCCAAAGTGAGGTTAATTGCCTTTGCAGCAGTGCCAGTGGGCAAGAGAAAGATCTCTCCTGACTTTGAAGCTTATACTGCTGCTGCTGAGCCGTCTCCCAGCGACTGCTTGTGATGAGGCAGCAGGAATTGGCTTGTCATCAGTGACATGCAGTTATTTTTAGCTTCTCCCTCATTAATTTTTTTGCCTAATGAAAGTGTGCATAATATCCCACCTTATAAAATATTAACAACTTCTTCAAATTATGATACTTTTCAAAAAACCAGGCAGATTAACTAAGCATGCAAGCAGCAGAGCAGCAAACAACCTGCAGAGCATCCTCACCCGGTCAATGAAACACTGCAGGAACCACTTGGTTGTGTAAATCCCCGTAGTCATCTGCTCCTTGTCCTAGGAGAAGACAGCAGAGAGAGACAGACATTTCACCAGGCTGGCTGCTGGAGGTTGAAGCAACTCATAGGGCTTTTGGGGAGGTCGGTTGATTGGTTTATTAATGCTGGGGTCTGAGTATAGGATCTGACTGCAGTTTGTGTCCCAACAAAGTCCCTGCTTTAACTACCGATGCTGAAGCCCTGCTTTGGACTCTTTGCTCAAGTTATTCATTGAACGTGGTCCTTGACGTGGCCAACTTCAGCCACAACTTTTGAGAGGGATTTCTAGTGCTTTTCTGGCCTAATATCTACCCCAGGGATTTACCTTCCAGGAACCTAAACCACGCAGTCCTTGCAGACTACTATTTTTGTTTCCATAGTAATTCCCACATGAACCTCTCAGAGCACCACAAAAATGATTAACCCCAAGCATCCCACAGGTAAATCCAGACCTGCACAGTCAAGCCAGCTTTGCTAGCATTACCTCATCCACACGGCACGGCTGCTGCAGGAGCAGGATGGCCTGACAAGCTAAGGAAAACTCAAAAAAACCTCACCAACACCACCCCAGTCTATCACTTTTCCATCCCTGTCTGGTGCCTGGCAGAGCGCTCATGCACAGCTTTCATTTTCCTGGCAGGAATAGGAAGAAATGCATGGAATTAACGGCCAGCTCCAGGCTTTGCTTTCGGCTGGTGCCGGGCAGCTGCAAGCCTGGGGAGCCTTTGGGAGCCAGGAGGCATGAGCAGCCTTCAGAGTTGTTCCCATCCTCCCCACCCAGGTTTCCCCACCTCCATGACTATAATTAAGTGAAACCTGTCCTGGTTGTGTATCACTTATATGGCCAGGGCTGGCTCATTTGCAGCACGGAGCAAGAGCTGTTGCAGATGACGGCAATCTAAACAGCTTTCCCTGGAGCCAGGCCACCGAGCCCCTTGGGAGCATAAGAAACCTTCAGGAGTTTGGCCACTGAAGAGCAACTGCCTACAGCAAATGCAAGGGAAACAAGGGACAATAAAAACAGGGAGCAGGTGTTGTGAAATAGTTGCCTAGACGTTAGACTGCAGCTGCAGTCCTGCAGATGCTCCTCCAGCCACCAAATGGGCTTGTACCATCTGCTGGAGAAAAAAACAACTGGACGTGCCCAAGCAACAAAACACACAGCAAATCTTACATGCCTCCTGTCTTTAAGCAACAGCAAAGCCATTAAATGCAAGCACTTGGGGCTAATAATCCAGTCCAGCATCATCACCCCTCAGGCTTTGCTGCCATATGCAACAGTTCCTTTTGCTGCAGGCTCCATGAGCCTTCCTGCTTGGCTTTCCTCGGGAAGCCTTTGGATTTTAGCAGTCCCTACGCTAACGATGGCAGTAGCAAACAAATGATAACCATTTGCCTCGGTGAGATTCAGGCACTCCATTTAAAAAATGCTTGCCTCTTAGCCACTGAAGCAGTCCTACATGGTTAGAAATATGTTCAGTTGTGCATCTGTTTGGGAGAACATTACACTAATTGCTTTAGCATTAAAACACAATATTAGTATGGGGAAACTGATAGCAAAGAGATACCAGGTGCTTCTTCAGTTTGGGGAAGAGTTTGCTTAAAATCTGCTCGTGGTGAGCTTGAAATCTCTGCAGCTTCGGGAACCCAGGAATGAAGAAACCTTAATGAGAAAAGATGAGAGAAATGAAAAATAATTATAAAAGCTCTGGAGCAGTTACAATGGCGGCCCGATTTGCTAGCAACTTATCCCCTTGCATTGCCTGTTGAAGTCGGCTGGACCACAACGTGCCCAGCTACCTCCCTTGGCATCCCTCCCAGAGCCTGCCCGTCACATCATCTACATGGGCAACAGCACCCTCAGCACCAACCCCAGCTGGTCCTCCTCAGCCCAGCCCCACAGAGCAGACCCACTCACCTCCCTGCCTGAGACCTGGCTTGGCCAAGACCTCTCTGAACACACCGTTGGTGCCTACCATGGTTCAGAGGAAAGCTGAAGATGTTTAAACAAAACCTTGTGCGGCACCCTGTAATCTAGGACATGCATTTAAGATTGTCCGGAGATATCAAGCCAAAAGCCTTAGCCCTCTGTTCATAAAATAACCCTCTGCGCATAGATTACTGCTAACCACAAGTAAGATGAAAGGATCTTTAATGTGTCTGAAGTAAAATAATACAGCACATTTTGTGGAATTACATCTTCATAAAATCACAAGGGCACGTGGGTCGTGGCACGCTAAAAACGGGGCATTACATGATGCTGTTGGATGTACTTCTGTGAGACCTCTTAAAAACTCGTAACCTTGAGTTAATTGATTGCCAAGGGCAAGGCACTCCAGAGGGAAGATAGCACCTCTGCGAGAGTGTTAATTACTGAGTGCTAAAGCTCAGTGCCAATAAACCACATTTCTCTCTGATGAACTTGTCTGCCTCCACAAGCAAAGTTCAGCTCCATAGCTGGCTTGCGTCAGCACATAATTAGGCCTTCCCTGCTCTAAGCCAGTACGTGAGGGGAAACGAGGCTCTACCAACAAACCTAAAGAGCCTTCTGTCGTAAGAGGCCCCATCCGCATCCCGCCCCAGCCTTACCGTGCATGGCGTGCCGCTGGTTGGTCAGCAGCTGTGCCAGGGCCCAGAATGCGTCCTCTTCGTTTAAGTACATCAGGAGGATGGCTGCGATCTGGCTCATGCCTTGGCAGTAGCTCACTTCCTGCAAAAGCCAAGAGGAGCACACATGCTGTCACGCTGTCAGACCCCACCGTGATGCTGCAGAAGCAGGCCGGGCTGCCTGTGCTTCCCTCTCTTTCAAGGTCTGTCCCATTTCAAGGTCTTTATCGACTGTGCACAAATTCACAGCTCCCATATGTCTACAGCATCTAGCATGTCACTAACTCACAGAGTGGTATAGATTGAAAGAAACCTTTGATGATCATCTCATCCAACCCCCCTGCCATGGGCAGAGACATCTTTCACTAGATCAGGTTGCTCAAAGTCTCATCCAACCTGACCTTGAACACTTCCAATGATGGGGCATCCACAACTTCTCTGGCAACCTGTTCCAGTGCCTCACCACCCTCATTGTAAAAAATGTCTTCCTTATATCCAATCTAAACCTACCCTCTTTCAGTTTAAAACCATTGCTCCTTGTCCCATCACTACAGGCTCTGGTAAAAAGTCTGTCTTATAAAGCCCCTTTATATATTGAAAGACCACAATAAAGTGTCCCCAGAGCCTTCTGTTCTCCAAGCTGAACATCCCCAACTCTCAGTCTTTCCTCATGGGAGAGGTGTTCCAGCCCTTTGGCCATTTTTGTGACCCTGCTCTGGACCCGCTCTAGCAGGACCTCCAGGAGGAGGTGAGCGGCTTGCAGGCAATGCCACCCACCATGCTGCTCCCCCCACCAGCCCTGCTCAAGCCTGGAGGGTGAGGGACAGAAACCCCAACATAAGAGGTGCCTGCAGCTACTTCAAGGAATAGGGAATGGGATGATAAATAGCATGTGGTTCCGATACTGGTTTGGGTTCCTTCAGCCACATAAGCACTGAAGTAATTAAAGAAAAAAGAAATCTGGTAAGCATTTTTCTGGTATGAGGGAAGGCAGGGTCTTTGTTTCCTTGACTACCCTCTCTGAGCATCTTTTCTGCCTTCTGGAGTAACTGTCCCCTCCTGGAGATGGAGGCAGTAGGTTTAGCTGCTAATTTAGGCTTATTCTGCCTGTGCCCTTCAGCTAAAAATGACTGGTTCGCTATAATAAATCAGTGTTTTCAACAAGGATGCCATTCAGTGTACGACAAGAAGTCAGGAACATGACAGATCTTCGGCCAGGAGGTTAGTCTTGCTGGAAAGACAAAGGGCAATCCCTTGTCTTTGCTGATACTCGCCCAAATAGCATCTGCCAGGTGTCATTTACCGGGTGCAAAATGAACAAGGGAATCAAACAACTGTGCAAAGAGTCTTGTGCTGCCTGTGAGTCTTGCAGCTGTCGGTACAAACCAGCATTAGGACTTAAAACAGGAATAACCACCCCCTAAATGTGGGTGTATGTGTGTATATATATATACACTTACATGTATACACATATATAATTGTATATAAAGCTTTCTAAAAGGCTTTATATAGAGATATAGTTATAAAAAGCACAACAGTATTCCCTTTAACTGGACTAACTTACTACTTACGGTGTTATAAACCGAGTATGCTGACAGGACATGGAAGAGTGCCTGTTGCCTGGAAAGAAAGAAGGATATTAAACCACCTGATCGTGAGGTCTCCAGCTTCTTGTGCCCACCAACGCGTACGCACAGAGAGCAAAGGCTCTGAAAACACCCAGACAAATGGTACTTATGGCTTTTGCAAGGAGCAGGGCTCACAGAACCAGAAAGCACCTTGATGGGCAGGTGGGATGGGACCTCTTTCTTCATGGGGGAGTCAGTCAGCAGTGGCCCCAGCAGAGCAGGGCTGAACCAGCCTGCTCCATCAGCAGGTCTCCCGGAGAGACATGCACGTACCCACACCTGCCAACACACCCGCTCTTCAGGTTTGGAGCAGTGGTGTGTTTTTAATACACTTGCTATCACCCAGGCATCAAGCGTTACACCTCCTGGGGGAAAGCACTGCCACCATTTTCTTAGTAGGCCCCTTTCTCCCTTCCCTCCTTGCTAAAGGAGTTAGATATGCAGTGCATGCTTCCTTGCAGCCAGGTGTGATACATCCAAGCCACTTTGTCAGATCTCCCAAACGCTGTCTGGAGGCCACATACACCCCATCCCACCCAGCTCCCAACAGACCCACTCCAACATCCCAGACATCCCAAACCAAGCCCTCTACAACTGCAACCCTAGTACCCTGGGGGACAAAGCACTGCAACAGAGTGATGCTTGGCTGAAGAACTGGGGCTGAACGTGGTCCAGAGTGGACCTGTTCGACGACAGACTGAGCAGCCCCACATCTGTGGGTGGTCCCATGCGCTAATGGTTTGTGGAGCAAGCAGAGATGGCTTTGCTCTCCTGTGAGCTGCTCTGAGCCAGGGTTCTGGTGGCCACCCTGAGCCATGGAGGGTGCTGTACACCCCATCCCATGCACACCCACCAGCACTGATGCCAGTACAGCCACATGAAGCCTCCCGTACTCACTTCACTCCGTAGCGATCCCGGAACATGATGTGGTTTCGGAAGGTGCGGTTAACGTCCAAATCTATCTGCTTGATTTCCGAAGAAAAGCTCTTTGCTTGTTCTTTCATTTGCTAGAAGGGAGAGGGGCAGACAAGAGGAAGGAGTCAGACACCATCTCAGCCCACACCTCTCTCCACGCAGCGAGCAGGCACACTCCCTACAGCAGGAGTGGCAGCTTGTCGGCTGCACAGAGCTATCACAGAGTGACTTGGTGACACTGGTGTCTTGCAGTGAGCAAAGATCTGCAGCCTGGAGGTGAATCCCCAGCCCCAGGGAGAAGAGGACAAGCCCATCCTCACATGCTACGACAGCAGCAGCTGCCAGTCCAACCTTTGCCCATCTTGCAATGCAGATACCAAGTTTGCAGGATCTAAACCCTTTACAATTAAATTCCACTCTGATTTCTTTTGATTTCTTTGAGGTACATGGCCTGGCTGTCATAAAGCATCGAGATCTCTGATGGTGTTAAAGGAACGAAACACTTCTATAACCAATATGCAGATGTAAGCACCAGGTCCCCAAGCTTTTCAGAGGCTTAGTCATAACGAAGTCCAAACTGTGACAACAGACTCTATGAAGCGATCCCCATCTACTACTTCCACTGCAGAAGAGGTTTAAGGAGTTTTCACTAGAAAAGCAGTTCTGGGGTATTCACTGGGACTGCTGGAAAAGTGGCAGAGCCCAGAACAGAAGCTAAACTCAAAACCACGAATCCCCGTGTTCCTCTCATGCTGGCTAATCATTTAAGGAGCATCACACAGCCAAAGGAAGGAAATTCAAACCAAATCTAAGCCCACCTCAACCAATTGCACCCTCAGAGTCCCAAGCTCGATGTTCCTTGGACAAATCCCACTGCAGTTCTATTTGTAAGCCATCGTTTAGCCCTGTGTGCGCAGGCAAAGACCATTATGCTATAGCCAAGCATCTCATCTCACAGCCCTTAGATACTACCAGTGATCATGCAATTGCCCTCCTTTACTATCTCCAGGCCTAATTGCATTAATAAAATACATTTTGTGGCTGTCTTCAGGCAGCCTGAGATTCACTGGCAGGTTAGGGGCAGTGGAGATGAGCAGCAAACCCAGCTTGTCGAGCCCAGTGTCAGGACCCCTCTTCGCTCACCACAGGAGACAGAAAATAGCACATCTGCACAGATACTTAATCATCTGCTCCAGCAGCTGCCATCCTACAAATGCTTGTCAGCCTGATGCAAGGTGCCTCCAGGCTGCTGTTGACCTCCTGAGGTGGCCACATCAGCTCTGGGGAACATCAAAAGGTCATTAGCACTCAAATGTGTCCTGCACAGTGAACACTTAAGGCAGGCACAGCATCTTGGGAATATTAATTCCAACCTCAAAAGCAGCTGTATGGAGAAGCAACACTGCAGGGGCTATTTTGAATTATTGCCTGCACAAGACAAGGGAGGATAAAAGTGACAATGGAATGAAGATCTGATGAACAACATCATTTTCCTGCTGCAAATTCTGTGCTCTTTGCATCCTATAGCTCTGTGCCCTCTATAAAGCTGGCAGACTACCTGAGACAAGATGACTATTCATATGCACTGAGTCACTTCAGTTCAAATTTCCCTGCTAAAGTCCCTCTTATTTTCCCTACTAGGACAACACAGAAACCTCCCAAAGACTATAAAAACCCCTACTTTGGGTGGGGTTTTAAATCACTGCACCTGAAAAACAGGTAGGTTGCACAGCACTTTGTCACCTCCATGCACCCAGGAGGCTTTATTAACTCTGTATATGGTAAACAAGAAGCGCGGAATGAGTTGTTCTCCTTTTTTCCCTTGTTTAAATAACCTGGGGACTTCACAGATGCTCCTCCGAGCTCATTAGCACCACGAGACCTGCAAGCCTGTGGCAGAGCAGAGGCTGAGAAGCTGGAGGTCCCATCCCAGAGACCTTTTACAAAGCAGCATGTAAAAGCCAGGATGCCTCTGCTCTGCCCCATGACCATCACGTTTCTCCTGCTGCCTTCTTGGCATTCCTCAAGCCCTCTTGGTTATGACTATAAAATCCCAGCTAGGCAGAGCATCACACCCAAGTTGAAACCAAGTGTGGCACGTTCCATGGTAGCCTCTGGGCTCCTGCAGCATCAGGGACAACTGAGCTGCCACAGCCTTGAGGAAGACTTGGAGACTCACACGGAGAGGACTTGGAGGACAGCTGGGATAAGACAAAGCACTTCAGAAGCAACTGTGCCAGGCTTTTTAATTGCATCGCTCTAGAGGCAACATGGACACAGGGAGCAAGGTATCCTGCTTGGCTGGAAAAGTAGCTCCTCCATCAGCCCGGGTGCAGGGGACAACTTCTCTACAGAGGGAGCAGAGGGTATAAAAAAAAGATAAATCACCTGGCACATGCTAGGCGGCACGCTCAAAACGCAAGGCACATGCAAAAGCCAGGCTTTTGTGCCATGGTTCATGCCCCAAGGAGAAATGAGGTGGCCTTGGACCCAGCCCCTCCAGGACACAGGGCTGAAGCTTGGTCCCTTCTTGAAAGCAAAACCCCTCACATCCAGGAGCTGCAGGGAGCCTCTTCCAGAGGAATTAGAGGAGAGCTAATTACTGGCAGCAGGTGGCAGCAAAGAAGAGGAGGATTAAAATGAGTTTGTAGGGGGTTTGCATCCAGCAAAGCCTATTAGCCCTGAAGCTCCTGTTTATCACAGACCCCTCTGGAGCACAGATAAACTCCTTGGGACTTTCATTTGTTTGGATTGCTTCCCTGCCCGCACAGCACAGCTTCGAGGGAGGGAGCGTGATAAGAATCTGCGTGCTGGGAGAGTTATCTCTGCTTATTGCCGTGAGCCCAGCCTGCCTTCCCCAAGCCCCTGCACGTGACTCCATCCCAGTACCATCTCACTATTAACATCTACGCTTGACTAACTATAATGAGCATTAGCATCATCCTGCTTAATAGGCAGGGATTCTTAGAAACACCTGCTGGAAGCAGCACTCAGCCTCCCGCCTCCGAAATATAACTGTCTCCACAACACCCCGATCCTCGCTCGGGTATGCGATGCAAGCTAAATCATAACACAAGTTTGGAAAATAAGTTAATTATCAACCAAGGGCTTCCACACACTGCCTATGGAAAAAGGCTGTGTAAAGGAGCTGAGATGCCTGAAATAAAAATAACAAAATACAGAAAGCCCTGTCACTTGGGTTCTTGTTTAATGCATGCTACAGAAATGTCTTATTTTACACCCAGGAATCCAATCCTGCAGCATGCATCTGGGAGGAAGCAATGCAAGGCAGGCTTTTCTCCTATCTGCAGAGAAAATAAGTGATTTTTAATAGAAAAAAAATATTTTTATTTGATTTTTAATAGAAACTTTAAAGACAGTTATAAAAAGATTGAAGACGGAAGATGAAAGAAGCCACTTCAATCCAAGCTCTTCAAACCTTGCCACTCAACTTCCAGCTGCACATCTAAGTTGTAAGCCAGGACCTCATGCTCAGAAATCCTCCACAAACTTGCAAAAACTGCCTTCACTCTGCCTTAATTGGGTTTCTTGACTAATGATACCTTGTTGGCTGGTTTAAGGCTTCTGACCTTGCTGCACATTTCAAAACAGCCAGAGTGAAATTTTCAAGCTTGGGGTATCCCTAACCCAGCCCCTACTCGCTTCAGGGTACTCCTGGCTTCTCTGCATCACTCCAGGGAGCTCAGGGAGCTGTGAGCAGTACCTCTGCTAAGCTTCCCCTCCCTCTTCCCTGCATTTTTCCCTAAGGAAAGCATCTTTGCTCACGGCTTCCAGCAGAATAAATGGAAGCAGCACGTTAGGGAAAGCAGCTGGCTAACATGCTATAGAGTTTATCCCCTTTACATTTTCAGTCCTCACTAATTTTCAGCCTTTCCTTCTCCGAGGCTGCAGCAATTCACGGACAGGACTGGCCCCACCAGCAGTGCATGTCATAGGGCACTTGGCATGCTGCTACCCTGAGAGGGAGGATGCAAGGATTGGGTTGTGCCTCCCGCCCCTTAAGGGATCCCCATAGGAATCCCCATTTCCCCCCTGCCCGTGTGGATGGAGATGGAGACACCTGCATCTGTCACAGGTCTGACCTGCTCCAACCAGTGAAGCCCCACCAAACCTGCTTCCCCACCACCTTGCTTCCGTTGTCTTCCCCAGGAAGAGCCCATACCTCATATTTTCCTTCGTTCTCCGTTTTCATCTTTTCGACGTCCAGCAGAAGCGACCAGACCTGGCCTCGCACCTGAAGCGGGATCCCTTTGTACACTCGCCGGCACATCTGCGGGGAGGGAAACACATGCAGGGTTAGCTGGTCCTGATGGCGTCAGAGGAGATTTGCTCCATAGTTTGCTGCTGTGGACCACCAGCCAGCTGAGCGGACACTTCCTCTGCCTGTGCTGGTGCAGAGAGGGCATCTCCAATCTGATGGATGAGCTGAGCACCTGCTTTCTGAGAGGTCACATTCTGTGCACACCAGCCTGCCCTTGGACTCCTCTCCAATGACCAGAAGCAGCACCCTTGGCTTTGATGCTCTTGATCTGACCTGGCATGGCTGTTCTCACCTGGATCCTCAGGGACTGGGAGAAAAATACAATTCCCCTTGGAGAGGAAAGCCCTTACCATGAGAGCCACAGGGACGTGTCCACAGCAGCTCTCATGGCTTGACAAACAGCAAAGGAGACTGTGGACTACACCAGGGGCCCTCCCCTGAACGTGCAGGGTACCTCTCAAGCAAGGAGAGGGATTGGGGACAAACATGCATGTGTCCCTCCTCCTGTCTGTATGCTCATCTCACAGATGATGCTTCTCTTTTTTCTTGTCACAAAGCCCTCTCTTTCTAAAGAGACCATTAAATTTCAATGGAAAACAGAAGAAAGAGTTTTTGTTCTATCCCTGGCTTCTCCCATTGAAAGAAAAAGCTTCATAAAAAAAGAAAAAAGCCTCATTTCTGAATATTTTCCACCCTTTCATTCATCCCACCTGTGAAACGCCTTGCACTACAAAGCCAACCATGGCCCTCCTAGACAAGATGTGTGTTAGAAAACTGTTCCACCACATAAGGTAAATATTTCAATATTTCTGCTGACACATAAAGTGTCAGTGAAATGTATCTTCATCCTGTAAATGTAATGGTCATTCAACATTTAAAACCCCATCCTCAGCTCTGCCAAATGCTTACTCTGCCCCAGGTGTTGCTTAGCACCAACTTTGAAGGTCCAATGCATAGCCAGAATCACACCCTATGGAAATCCTTCACAAGATCCTGCTCTCCCCCTCTCTGTAGGCACCAAATAAGAATTGCCCCGTAAAAATAATCTCACTACCAAGACATACCCATGGAAGGCCACCATCCGATTCAACAGCATCTTGCATTATAAGTGGGACATCACTTGGATCACAACAATCCCAGGCAACACAACAGGCTTGGGGAAGAGTGGCTGGAAAGCCGCCTGGTGGAAAAGGACCTGGAGGTGTCTGTCAACAGCTGGGTGAACGTGAGCCGGCAGTGTGCCCAGGTGGCCAAGAATGCCAACAGCATCCTGGACTGTATCAAAAATAGTGTGGTCAGTAGGACTAGGGAAGTACTCGGCACTGGTGAGGCTGCACCTTGAATACTGTGTTCAATTTTGGGCCCCTCACTACAAGAAGGACTTTGAGGTGCTGAAGTGTGTCCAAAGAAGAACAACAAAGCTGGTGAGGGGTCTGGATCACAAGTCTTACGAGGAGCAGCTGATTGAACTGGGATTGTTTAGCTTGGAGAAAAGGAGGCTGAGGGGAGACCTTATTGCTGTCTATAACTACCTGAAAGGAGGGTGTAGAGAGGTGGGAGTCAGTCTCTTCTCCCAAGTAACAGGACAAGAGGAAATGGCCTCAAGCTGGACCAGGTGAGGTTTAGATTGGATATTAGGAAAAAATTATTCACTGAAGGGGTTACCAAGCATTGGAACAGGCTGCCCAGGGAAGTGGCTGAGTCATCATTCCTGGGGGTATTTAAAAGACGCGTAGATGTAGTACTGAGGGACACGGTTTAGTAGTGATCTGGCAGTGCTAGGTTAACGGTTGGATTTAAATATGAAATGATCTTAAAATGATCTTAAATATCACTTCCAACCATAATGATTCTATGATCACTAATTTACTGTCTGCACACCCAGGGGAGCCACTCCTGCTCATCCAAGTTCACATGTGGAGGTGTTTTGGGAGGACAGCAAACCTCCACACCATGCTGGACATCTTCATCCCCATGGTTGAAACACCACGGAGATGAACAAGAGATTCCCACTCCCCAAGAGTCATCAAGTCAGGACGAAAATGGTAGCTGAAGTGCTACTGGTGAGATGCCCACAAAAGCCTTGGTCCCAAAAAGCACTGATGACTTCATCAAGCAAAAGTGGAGACAGGATCAAGAAACTGGAGTATGTATGAATTCAGATAAAATCACCAATTCAGAAAAAAAATATTTATTTCCAACGGATTAGGAGAGACTGACTGACAGCTGCTGAGGTAGAAGATGATGCTCAGATACGTGGGAAGAAAGTAATTTTGTTGTGAATTCCCAGAGCTGGTATTGTCATACTTTAATGAGTGCAGCCCTCCCTGGCATATAGTAAATGTCTCTAATGATTTTCTCCACATGAGAGCACAGCAGGAACAGGGGAGTTACAAAACATGCTGAGATGGGACTGAACTGAAATTCCTCTCTGTTATTTATCCGAGGGCTTTCCTCCTCCCACCGCCTCCAGACATGAAAGTGATAAAACCTCAGAGCTGTGAGTCACACAGAGGAAAAATGAGCAATTTTCCTTCGTCGTGAAACTTGAAGGAAAACAGGGAAGTTATGATTAAAAGCAGCATTAATGCTGGGATGAACTGACAGAGGGAAGGCAGCAGGTGATGGCAACTCCTGCTCCATGTGAGAAGAAGAAACAACCCTCAAGGTCACCATCTTCTGTCTCTTACAATCCACTCAGCCCTCACAGATGGGCAGAGAGCACCTAGACCATTCCCAATGCAAACTGATAGACAGACCAACGCATGGCAGGAAGAACGGACATCCTCCTGTTTCACAAATGAAGATGCTGGTGCTCAAAGCAAAAGCTCAAAGTGCTGTGTAGAAAGGTAGTGTAGAAAGCCAAGGACTGAACCTAAAGTGTTTAAAACTTGCTCCAGGTTTTGCCATAGCATCATGTTCCCTGTCTCGGTTTTAACATAAAAAGCTCACAGCACAGAAGCCATTGTCACCCCATCCCCATCTCTCCACTCTCCATGTACTTTCTTTCCAGTGATGATGGCATGGGGAAGATTATAGAAGTACAGACCCGAGCTTCATCTTCCTGCATCAGAGATCTCCTCTGAGAAGTACCCAACCAAGTGCTCCAGGTCTTTAGATAGTCGGGTGGAGTCACTGCATTTAGACACAGGACATCTTTTTGCAGTAGTTAAGACACTGAAGTTAAGGGTTTGGGAGGGGTGGATTGGTTTTTTAAAGCACAATATACACATTTCAGCCCACTTTCACATTTTGGAGCCTGTCACTGTTAGCTTCTCAGCGATGCGTATGGTCCACCAGGAAGAGACTGCAGGACTAATACCCCAATTTTGGGTATGCATGGCAACTTCACTTTCAAGCCTCTCTGGATATCCACCATACGTCTCCAACACCCTGAAGTGGGATACAATCCTCCTTCCTCTGCTCCTCTAGGCCTCAAAGAGTGACCCTTCCAGAGAGGACGGACTTCCTCCACCAGTGATGTTCTGGGGTAGCTGAGCTGTGAAAATCTTCACCTGTAGTGGTGTATGAAGTCTCCACTACCACCACCACCATAACCACTACCACCCTGGAGAAGAGGACTTCTTTTTTTGTACCATGAAGCAGGCTGATTGATGATGTGGCCATGTAAGACACTTGGCAGCCTGGACTTCGCTGCGCATGGTTCTCTTTCTGTATGGATAATGGTTGCTCCCAACTCAGCTGTTGTCCCTGCAGCTGGAGCCCTGGCTATGCTGAATGGGGACCAGCAGGTCTGCGGGGGCTTTGGCAGCAAAGGAGGGGCAAATTTAAATCCTAAGGCTGATGTGTCGTGGGTGGGCATTTACATTTATTACCAGGGCAACCTTTAGGGGAGAGGAAAATGCCACCCGCCCTTCCAAAATGGCAAAAACCAGCAGCAGTTCCCAGGCACAACCCCCTTTCTTTCCCATGGCATTCGTGGGCAGGAGATCTGACTTCAGCCGACCCTGACATGACAAACGTCTGCTGGCTCTCCCCAGCGTTAGCAGATCATTTGCTCCTGGGGGTCCGTGTCAGTCCACACAGAGCCCCGATTCATCCTAAACCGCTTTGCTGGCATGCACTGGATTAAGCGCCCTGCGCTCCCGTGACCTTAGCAGAGACAAGGCTACCCCCGTGCACAAAGACAGGCTTTGCCTAAAAAACAGACATCTCTTGCCGAAGACATCCCTCTCTAAAGGTCCCGTCCCACACAGCCAGCAACAAGCAGCAGCTTGCAAATGATGCAGAGGTCACATCCTCTTCCTAAGACTGATAATTCTGGCTGAAATCCACTTGTTGCAGGGCTATGATGAATAAATTATCCTGCTACTGGAGCACACACAGCACAGCCTCTTTTTTCTCTGCAAAACTGTGCTTGCCTTAACTGTGTATACTCTTACACGGCAGAGTCAGGTTGGGATTTAAATTCGGGTTTAAAACAGCAGTGAGGAAGACACAGACCACCTGAGCCTCCCTGTGCTGAACCCTGAATTACAGAATGCAGCACTCTTCTGCAGGTTGGACATACCTTAGCTCTGCAAAGCAGTGTGGTCCTTGCATGGACTCCTTTACTTCTGTGCCCTCTCCCTTTGTGGAAGTACAGCCAGGAAAAGGCAGCACTGCATCAGTCTAATCCCTTCAATGCAAAGAATTGTGCTGGTGTTGCTTTTTGTTGATGATGCTACTGAAATTAAATCAGATCACTATGAAGCATGTCTAGAACAGATATGGAGACAGATCTGATGTGGTGATGAGCTCAAGGAACCCCAAGGCATTACTTTAATTAAGATAATGCTATTTGTTGCTTATCCTGAAACAGGTTGTGCCAGGAATGATTGTAGTCATCGCTGGGCCATGCTGGGCTAGAGACTGCAAGAGTCTCTCCCCTTGAGGGTTTTTTTCAGCCTCATTTCCCATGACCTGTGACAGCCACAACACCCAGACTGCAGCCCGCAGCAGGCAGGAATGCACACTGGCACAGGTGGGGAAACAGAAAGCAAACCCTGCTGCTCTCTGGTGATGGCTCATGCTGAGGGTCTGAAAAAAGCTGTTTTCTCGCCCTCTGACGGGTGGTTGCTTTAGAGCCCAGACAGGTACACAACTGCTGTCCTCCTGCTGACGTTTCACAACATAGAAGCTGAGACAACAACCTAAGCCCCAATCAGCTACTAAGATCCTGCAAAACATGACAGCCTGCTTCATAAGCCAAGAGTCCCTCCTTCAAGCACTCAACACATTCAGCTGTCTGCCAGCTCCAGAACATGAACTAGGACTCAAAAGGTTGGCCCTGCAGTCCAGAAAGTCTCAGCCTGGAAAATAAGATGGGTTTCTACATCACTCATGCAGAGTCAAAGTCAGGGCAGCTTCCCTGTGAAACTGCCTGGGGTTCCTGCAACAAGATATTATTTTTTTCCCCCTCTAATAAAGCACAGTCTGTCAAAATGAACATCAAAGGGAAGGCTGCTGTCTTCAGCGAGAGGTTTTTTTCAAAGATGACATCCTAGTCTTTATAAAAATAACACAGAGCTGTTGTCTTGTGACACTTGGGCTTCCATCACGTCAGCGAAGTGCCGAAAACAAACCTGAAGGAAATGTGCAATGCAGATGTGACAGCCTGAGTGCTCAGAGAGGGAACAAAACCAACCCACTCTGCTTTAGAAAAATCAGATCAAGGGCTTGCCACATTTACTTTAGCTAGAAAAAAACCATAACCATCTGAAGGGCATGACTGTGATCCCAGCATAAGGTCCCTGAAACGCAACATCTGAGCTACATCCAGCCATGGCAACAGGAATCCCAGAGCAGCTTCCACGCTTCTGACACAAGAGCATGGGGCTGCACACCCAGGTGAAGGACACAACCTAATTTTATTATTTTTTTTAAAGCACTTTTTTTGTGCCTCTCAGGGTCTTTGCACTTGATGCTCTGTGGCTGCTCCGAGGCACAGACCTTCCTGCCTGCACTTGCCCTGGCGCAGGGCAGCGGGGTGTTAGGCTGGATGGGACTGAAACCAAAGCTCCTTTCTACTCCCCAGGGTCACCAGACTGCTCTGTCCCTGCTTGAGGCCAAGAGCTACTTCTCTGTTTGCTGGGAGGGGGGATGGCCACTTCCAGTCCCCCAGCACAGGGACAATGCCATGTCTGTGCCCAAGAGTCATCAGCCCTTTACGGGTTGTTATAAATAACATCATTTATTCCATTACAAGAGCTCTGTGATTTTCTGACCCAAAGACGCTCAAAACCCACTTGCTGGTCTAGCCCCTTACCATCCAGCAGACCTGAGCAACGTTGGCTGCAACGAGCTTAACACACCTGCTAATTATCAGGGTAAATCAAAAAGACTAATGGCAATTGCTACTGCTGCACACACCTCTCACCTGGGATCCCATCTGTCCCCACCAGCTGACCCAGGGAAGCCAAGGCATGCTAAAAACACTCATTACCCATCCCAAACATCATCCAGGACCTGAAGGAATTCCCTGTGCTCTGCTGGAATTTTGCACTTTACTCATAAGGCCACTAACCAATTAGTGCTAACTTCTAATTAGAAAAACCAAAGCCACAAGAGAGCCTCCGTTTTTGCCCGTGGAGCATCACTGATGAACAAAATAATTAGAACTACCCTGAAGTGAAAAGGAGGAGCATAAAAACCCACACCCTTCTCCACCCTGTCCCTGCTGTCATGAAGATAAGATTTTGTTGTTTGGTTTTTTTTAAAAAAGGGCGAAACTACAGCTGATCTTTGGCTGGGTGAACCTAACATCACTCTGGATGGCCAGGTGAGGGGGATGATCTCCTCTATGTCCTTCCCTGCAGCTATCCTCTGTACAACCTTTTAACCAAGCTCAGTTTTCTCCTGAGGACTCTCAGCAGGAGCTAGAAGCAATACAGCCAAACACCCTGCTCCTCCTGCCAAAGAAGGCAGCTGCAAGGCCGGGGCGACAGGGTGCACTGGGCTTCAGCTGTCTCCTGCACAGCATCGTAAGCAGAGCAGGTCAGGCGTGATACTCCCCCCATGACCCATAAAGGGTCCTGTCATCAGGTTCAAGTGTTTTTTGTTTCAAGAGGTTTGTAATAGAAACATATTATAAATATCATTTATTAAAAACAACTCAGTTTTGCAGTGACATTTGGTGCAGAGTTTATTTTGAACACCAAATCCGAGACACAAGGTTGGTGTCTCCATCCTTGATTTCCACAGGTGGGAGCACACAACCTAATACCTAAGGGGCTTCTCACGGGCACAGCTAGAAGCAAAATTCACGATCTATGTGATGTTGTAGACAAATAATTCTCCCTCTAGGAAGAATTACAAGGAACATCAGCTGGACTGTATCAGTCACATCTCCCATGCCATTCCCAGGTGGTGGAATCACAGACACAACCTGCAGCATGCACCACCCCCTGCTCTCAGAGCAGGGACCCAGCTGGGCACAAGAACATCCCTGCTGTGTTCCTCCTTGCACAGAGAAGCAGAAGTGCAAACACACCAGCAGCACTTAAGAAACAGTTTTTAAAACTATGCTAGTCAGAACAGGACTTTTCCCTAGCAATTTCAAGGAAAGATTTAAAATATTAAAATCTAACAGATAGAATTAGGCAATATTTTCTGGTGATCTCTAGTTTCTCTACCAACTTTTTGAAAGCCTGACCCATTGGAAGGATGCACCATTCCCGTCCCTCCGGACACATGCTCTTTTTTTTCCTCCTTACCTTGTCACTGTTTCTGTATTTGCCCCATTTCTTCAGCATCTTTAGCCACTTGTCCACACGTTCAATTTCCTGCTGTTTTTGCTGATGCAAGAAGACAAGACAAATTAAAAAAAAAAAAAAGTCCGAAGAGACCTCCTGAAAACACAAAACTTCGTTCTCTTTAGGTTTAAACTTCCATGAAAAGACTTTGCATCAGGGATTGGAATAATCCACAGGTGCTTATGGGCACCAGTAATTTCAACCCATGGTAATTAAAGCAGCATTAGTACAAATGAGACACACAAGCTTAACATAGAGAAAGCACTTCCAAGAGGAGTATTCCTTGACAACAAAAATCTTTGCATGTTTAGCTAGCCTCAAATAATATAATTGTCTCAGATTGGCAGAAATGAGACGCTATTTAGTCCCTGTTAGCAGGATCCTAACAGAGGACAAGCTCCCAGCACAGGGGAGATGATGGTTACCTACAACCTCCACCACTCTCCCCAACATGTGCAATCCGCTTTTCAAGCCACAGCCGCTGAGCACTGTGCCAAAGCAGAGAGAAAAGCCCAAAATTGCTTTAAAAAGTGCAATTTCAGTGCAGGAGGGGAGGTGCCTGACCCAGCAAAATAAAAGCTCCAACAGCTCTGCATCACCCAGAGTTCCCACCTCTGCATGAGCAGCAGTGACCAGCGGGTGCTGGCTGCTTGCTTTGCTCTCACTTGCGTATTCATTTCCTCAAAAACCGTCCCCTCCCCAGCCCGTGTGGTGAGGATCTGATACCCATGACAACAGAGTTGGCAGCTCTCACCTTCTCCTCCAAGGCCGTGCGGGTCGGCAGCTCCTGCTCACTGAAAAGCAAGGGGTCACCAATTACTTTATAGGCAAGAGAGGATGTGGAGGAGCTTGGGGTGCTGCAGCTCCGGGACCAGCTCAGGCACCTGAGAAGATACGCTCAGGGGCTTTGTGCCTTTCCTACAGCTGTCCCCGACAAGGAAGATGCAGAGGAAGCACCAGCCAAAAGCCCACTACCCTACAGGAGCTACTGGGGGTAATGTAGCACTGGACATTGGACATAGCTGGAAATTGTGGGGATAAAGCTCCTCTTCAATACATACGTTAAAAGGCAATTAAAAGGCAGCAGGAGGGGGAAATCTCTGGACAGCAATTGCTTCAAACCCCTCTTGTGCATACACCACGTACTATTATAAATACTTGTTCAGATTTTGAATAAAAATACTTCTTTTAAGCATTCTCCCCAGGCACAGGGTGTGCGTCTAATTCATCTGTGCCTTGTTTAGGATGCGTATTTCACTGTGGGCCCCCACGGAGGCAGTGGCACCAGCCTGCACCTTATGATGGGAAGCCATTTCTGAGCCTTGCCTTGCAGCAGATCAAAGCATCAGAGGGTATGAACACATGTGGTTGATGGAGGAAGTAAATATAGTCTCCTCCTGCGTTTGGGATTGATCAAGCCAAGTCACAGAGCAGCTTATCGATGCTGGGTCTGCCACGCACAGACACACAGGTCAGAGAGGAAAGGAGAGGGCAGAAGGACTTACTGCAGGAATCCAAACCGGTCTGTAACTTTATACAGCGTGAAATTGGCATCTTCCCATGGGTCAATCTGAGCTCCTTCCTGCCTGCCCTGAAAGCAGAAAGGACGCCAGTGAGCCGGCATCAGCACCGGGAATGCCCCAGTGCCAGCATCCCGCATCCTTCCCTCCCCGCATGCTAGAAGGCACAGAGCTAGGAAACCACACCTTGCTCTAAAGAGACAAATACAGCGCAGGCAAGAGAAAGAAAAGCACAAGTTCATTCTATCCAGCATCCCTGGTGTGACTCTGCTACAGGCTGGGAAGGGCCGTATGTCAGAGAAACCAGTGCTGTTGGGCACATGCCATCCTGGTGTTAAGGGAGCACTGCAGCTCTAGTATCTGTGCTGAGCACACATGAGATAGATGAGAAACTCTGGGGCTGTGGTGAGAGGGGATGCACAGGCAGAAGCAGGTAGGGAGAGCCAGCATGAAGCCTGATGGCATAAGGGTTACTGGGGTGATACCTGGCAGAGAGGCAAAAGCTCTTATTCAAACCATTCCTAGTTAACTAAATAGCTTCAGCCTTAGCCAGCATGTCAGGGAGAAACACGAGGTTGGTACCTTCTCATACTTGGCAACGATCTCCGCTTTTTCCTGGGCTATTAAAGACTCTATATCCTTCTTCATGTCAGAAGCTGTAAGGCAAAAAATAAAAGACAGAGGGAAAGGGAGATAAGTAAATGCGTACACAGCATGAAAAATATTTTAGGAAACTGCTAATAGAAAAAACCTTTGCTGACAACTTTAGCTTCCAGTCATATCCCCTAGCTAAAATTAGGCTCATATTGAAAAGCCACTGTACAAAGTGTGCATGGAGCTTGCCTGCACACAGCAGGACTGCCAGCTCCCCGCTCTCTGCACAGGGCCACAACTGAATTTGAGCAAGGGAGAGTCTTGTCTGCTGGAAGACAAGACATCATGCCTTTGTTCTTAGGCACACACGTGCCTGTAGGAAAGACATGGTGTTTTTAAATTGAGACGGGCACAGCAGCCACAAAGCCCTTGCATTGCACAGGTCACGTGCCAGCTGGGAGCTGCACAGCGTAACGTTCATGTGGATGACAGCGCCATGAGATGCTCTGTTGGAGCATCCAAAGGCAGATTTAACATCAAAGGAGAAACTAAAAGAAGTTTTTGCCTACTGAAGTGTGCATGCAACAAGTAAATTAGATAATTACCTTCTATACACACCCCCAAAAGGAAAACAACACAGCAGCAAGGTGACTGTAGAGTCCCTATCTACTCTGAGATGGACCAGTCTTGGTCTAAACAAGACCCAGTCTGGCTACCTGAGGTCTGTGCCCACTGCTCTGCTTCATCGCATACACACACATACGAGCAAGGTAACTTCCCAAGTCAAACATGACTTGAGTGTTGGCTTGTACAAGCTCAAAGGAGCATCCTCCCTGTCAAGCCATAACTAGTTTCTCACTGTTCACCAAAAGAAAAGGTTGTTCTAACACACTTAGGAAAAAACATGAGCAGATAAAATCCCCAGGGAACCACAGTCTCCAGGGGTGGCTGCAAAGAAGAGGGCAGAGGGCAGGTCTACCAAGTCCTCCTCCTCTGAAACTCTATGGAACTGTGACCAGCCCAACTCAGACAGCACAATGGCTATGGTAGCACCTAAAGCCAGGCTACCACAAGCCACATCACCCATACCTTCGGGCTACAGGAGCAATGGTGCTGCAGTGCAGTCCTGGCTGCAGCAGTCCCTGGGCATGGAGGATGGCAGTAGGGACAGGCAGCCAACAGGGATGGCCTCATCTTGAGTCCACTGACCACATTCCCAAGTGCTCTGTAAATGGACAAACTCCAGCCAGCCCAAGAGCTCCCCTTGCTCCCCTTCCCCAGTGCTTGGTTGGTTTCTTTAATTTTTTAAACATCTCTTTTATTTATTTGTATCTCTTTTCATTTTTTTTAAAGCTTTTAAAATAGTTTTACATTTTTCCCACACTTCTGCTATAAATTATAAAGCTACTCGGATAGGATAGATAGGATAAGCACTGGGAAGTCATGGTGTGTTATCACCTACATGGCTCTGTCCTTTGGTCCTGCTGACCTGCCACAGGTCTTGCATTTCAAGAACAGCAAGGTAAAATAATTTTAGTCCACAGTTACAAATGTCTTAGCATTTGGAAATGTTTTTGAACACTTAAACCTCTTAGAATAGCTTGCTACAGAGTCAGACTGCATTTTGCCTGCTCTAAGGAGGTTTTGGCTATTTTGCCTGCTGTAAAATGGTTCAGCAGGGTTGGGGAAAAACTGCTAAGAGCCACCACAGCCTTAAAATAGTTTCCCCACTGTCACATTACAAATGATCCAGTGATTTATCCAGAACATCTGAAAGCTAAACAACTTCAATAATAAAGTCCAGAAGTTTCCTGTAGGGCTTGAAAGGAGCTCCCTGGAGCATCTGGGATTGCCCTAGCAGAACAGACTTGAAAGCCTCCCACAAGAAATTACAAAATTTTGAAAAGCCTTTTGAAAATAAAAAAAGAACAGGTTGACTCCCATGCTGCATCTAAAGCTGGAAAGTAAGCCCTGTGTTGCTGTGCTCTGGCCCTTTCCCAAAGCGCTGGTGACCACCTCCTTGCAGGGAAGTGGAACATTGCTACCCACAGATGAAACACTGTGCAATAGCTGCTCAAGAACAAATTTACCCCAAGCTGCCCATGCAGCTCACTAACACACCAGGAGCCATCCTGACCTCCCTTTAGGAAGAACCTGAAGGGTTCTGTTGTAGGACACGCTTCTGGCGGAGGCTGCACCTCGGTGAGCCACCGTGCAGCTGGCTGCAGCAGCGCTTGGCACCGGACGAGCCAGAGCAGCCAAAGGCATTGCACTTGGGATGATCTGAAGAATGTCATTTTTCCTGGAGTGAAAAAAAAAAAAAACCCAACAAAAAAAAACACAATTAGGGGAGATATGATGCGTAAAAGCATCAGCGCTCTCCGATGCTCAGTCCACTTCTCTGCACCTTCAGACATCCATAAGCAATTATTTGTCTCATCTTACTAACTCCTTAATGCAACCCGCTCGCGGCCATCAGAGTCATTGCCAGCAGTGTAATAGAAATATTAAACCACACACAATAATCTGGGCCACCAGGGCAACTCTTCCGTGACACGTTATCAGCCAATAGCACAAGCATTTCACTGCTTTACACTCATCTGTACAGACACCGGAAAAAGGCAAACTCTTCAAATTGATGGCAGAAATGGGTGTATCTTTCCACATTATTGACTCCACAATCAAGACAGAGAGCAAGGGTAGAAATTTTAAAGTGTGCTTTGTTCTCCTATTTTTCCAAGCTGCAGCTCTTACTTCAAATGTTGCCATGAATTTTACCCATTACGTGTTAATCACAGCTTCATTTTTCAAAGTAGCAAGGTGTAAGTGTCTCACAGTGTCACCTAATATATCTGCATCTTCTCCTTCTCACATCCTTCATCTGTGAAGTTTAACTGAAAGGCAAATTCACTCCCCCACTTCTGACGTTGTTTTTTTCTTGTTATGGGGCCAAAGAATTCAAATGAGGTCCTTTATATGCTGCTAAAAATAAAAATATTCTGCAGACTGGAGGGAAAAAATAAACTGTATGTCAAATTAAATGGGCAATTTTTCAAGACATTTATGAAGTGGAAGTTATTCTGAACGTCTCTGACCACACTCTGTAATAGAATAACCAGAGGAAGAGCGATTCGGTAACATGGGAGGGCTTACACAGCAGAAGACAATGGGGAGACCACATATATTTTGGCATCCGTCTCTGTGAAAGCCTCTCTGCAGCCAGAAACTCCAGACTGGTGCAAAGGAGCACGTTTTGCACCTCATGCCTGGAATGCGCACATTTGTTTTCTCTTTCTACTGCAACAGCGCAAAAGTCCAAATTTAGGAAAAGACTTGAAAGCAGAGAAAATGGTTGATGGCAGTAAGAGGAATGGGGATGGCAAGTGGCTGCACCAGCCTCAGCCTCTGAACACAACACTGATGCTTTTTGGAGTAGGAAGGCGATGCTGTGCTCGACCAGGTGATTTTCGAAGTACTCTGGAAAGAGAACAGAATATAGCCTAGCTCTATAACAGCCTATGTTAAACACAGATATCAAATATGGTATTTTTATTATTTAATTCTGCGCATACTTGAAGTCCAGAGTAGTTTGACACCATGAAGTTAAAGCATTTGTTTTGAGAGAAATGACACCTTGTGTACATGAAAACTACTGAGACATTTGTTTTCCGGAGAGTTTGACGAAACACATCATTCCGCCCTGATATAAAGAGGCTACCTATAAACAGGCAGAGCCTGTACCTGCCACACTTCTCCACACACCTATATAAGACTCAAGTGGTTTTTATTTTAATACATGGTTAAAAGGACTTTCTCAAGCCTGCCACCCAATTTCTTCCTGTGAGTACTGTATTTTCCCAACAAACAGGGCCTATTTTCCATGATAAACACACAAAATAGCTATAAACAGGAATGGTAAGAAAATGTGAAAAATGTGAGAATGGTATTAGATGAATTTACTAGGATATAAGCAATAGAAACCCAAAGCCAGGCACACTTAAATTCAACTGGGAAACAAAGTTACCAACTAGTTCCTTTGAAAAAGAATGAGTTGAAAAATCCACAATCTGTCATCTCACATTAAAATTTGCAGCTTCCAGTTTACAATTTAAGGAAGTAAAAGTTAATCCTAGCAACAGCAAGCCTAAAGATGCTTAATGAAAATGCATGTTACTGCCTTCCCAGATTGAATGCTGTCTACCCATTAGCAAACTTGAAATAAAATATCCAAGGTTTGGATGAGAATAACTTTCTTGAAATTAATTCACCAGCTGGATCTCAAGTATTGGCAGCAGAAAGAAGGTGTCTGCATCAAAAATCCAAGACTCGGTGCAAAAATTGTTATCCATAAATCAGATTGACTGTTATAACCCTCCCCCCAAAGTCCTGTATTTTTGCGGTAAGATCTGCTGAGCTTCTTCCACCCTGCGTGGAGTGGTACCCACCAGGACCAGCATGGCCAGGAGCATGGGAACCTCTGGCCACCAGTCACCCAACCTGCATGTTGCAACCCTGCTCACTGCCCAGAAGAGGAACCGAGCATTTCCCACAGCCCAGTGGCACTGCAGCTCCTGCCATGGACCAGGGGACACACACAGAGACATGTCCCCTGCTGTCCCCGACCACAACATCATGTTTCCAGCTTATAAACCCATTAGCAAACACCCTGCCCGGTTCGCTCCTTCTGTGCCAGTACTTGCAGAAGACACAGCCACTGCCAGCTCTTTCCACAGAGGTTACTTCCCAAGGCCACATCTGCAGCCCTCTGCTCACCGCCAGGTCCTCCTCTCCCCAGTGCTCCATTTATATGAAACAGGGACAAACTTCCATTAAACTTGACCAGGATGCGAGAGCCACACATGGAACTTAACCCATCAAAAATGCAAATGGATGCAGTCAAAGGACTGGAGCTGAGACATCAAAGGCTCAGCTGATGGTCCCTGCAGATGGTTCAGGTGGGTGCAGATCAGCATGCCTTGAGATGCCCTCACAGAAATTCACTGCAACCCTGATTCCAGACCTGACTCCTCCAAACTCTCCTCACAAAGTGGTTTTGCTGTTGGGACCTTGGCCAGAAAGCAGTTTCCCAGCCTTTGAACAGAGCAGATGTGGTGATGCTACCAAACAACCCATCTGCTCAATTTTCAGTCTCTTCAAGCCCTTTCCTTGTACTTACAAGGAAAGTACAGAAGTTTTACATGCTTTTACACAGGTTTTATACTGTCAGGCTGCACTAGCATCAGACTTTACTGCTCACCTTCACCATTTTGCTGTGAGGAGAACTGTAGATCCAGTGTCACTTGGCAGAAGGGCTTTTGAAAATGAAAATATCAGTAAAATCTCCTCTTTTTAGGAAGTACAGCATAGCATTGTGTTCTCAACCTTGGGCTAGATCTGGGGATATTCTGGAATGCAATTTTTAAATATTTTATACTGTAGAAAAGTATCTACTCAAGCCACTTGAGATTACAGACAGTTTTGGTTATTTCTCTGTTCCCGCTGCATCCACCAGTCAAAGCAAATTAAAGGCAAGCATGAAGCAGGAACACAGCCAAATACAGTCCAGTTACAAAACCTTAACAGCTACCTCCCTCTGACCAGAGTCATCTCAACCTCCTGCATCCCTCCTCACTCCTCAGCATGCTCCATCTCTAGGGCAAAACCTGCAAAATTTGCATTCTTGCTTCAGTAACCTCTCACAGCACTGTACGTTTCTCCTCTCCAGCTGCACCCAAGCCCATGGAAATGTATATGATTTTTTTTTTTTTTTTGCTGCATGCTATTGCAAGCAGCAGGTCATTGAAAAAGGAGAAATGACTTAGGGTGCAGGTGTGCTGGAGTCCTGGACGTGCCCAACTAAAAGAGACTGCTGTTAGGAGCAAAAAAAAAAAAGAAAAAAAAAAAGGGCAAATTTTGTCACAACGTGCTTAAACGCCATGGTGGCCTGTATCAGACTGAAACTACTGCTGTGGAATAAAGTCAAAAAGGTACGTACTTACTACAACCACATCCACCACTGCCGAAACCCAGCAAGTCGCTGTTCCTGTTTCACGTGCTATTTTAAAAGCACATTTTAACAGTGTTTTATATCTTTATTTATATCTTTAGCTGTCTATTGTATAGGCCTGCAATCTTTCCTTTAAGGGAACAGGCCTAAAGGAAATGCTTATGCACGTATGCAGGTGGAAATGCTCGTACCCCACCTGCAGAGGTGCAGACCCCCGCAGGAGGTGTCCCTGCAGCCTGCACCACTTGCCAGCAAAGCACTGCTCTCCCCTGTAAAGCTACGACCAGCCGTAACCGTGGCTTGTGCCCTTGCACACCCTGGAGCAAACCTGGCCACACCAAGCCGTGCCACGGGCCGCTTACACTGCGGCCAAAGCAAGCTGCTGGAAGTTGAAGAAGTGCATGAAACAGGCCCCTTGACATCCTTCCAACCACACAGGCTACCAGCTGGCAGCAAAATCCCCATTCCTGGTTGCCTGGTATAATTCGGGGGGCACAGCCAGAGCTGTGAGCCAAGGGGAGCTGTCATCAGAGGGCTCTTCTCCCCCACGCTTAGAGCCCCTCAAAGCAAAGCCGCGGGGTCACACCACCGCACATACCTACCAAACACAGCCAGAACCAGCACGGCTTTGGGTCTGCTTCGACGGCATCGCCATGGCCCGTGGAAACCTCAAAGCCTCCCCAGGCATCCAGGAGGAGCAGCGGGCTGCTGCCGGGCTGCGTGCCCGGGAGGTGACGAGCCACAGGAGGAAGTGACGGCCGCGAGCTGCCGGCAGAGCTTCTGCTTCGCCAGACCCCAGCTCCCCACGCGGAAGTCATGCTGCTCCTCGGGTCTTGCTACGGGACAGGCCAGCGTCCCCACCTCCGGCATCACAGCTGCTGCAGTGCTTTTTACTAGAAACCCCAATCGCAACCCCCAAAACGGACAACACACTCGATCTGCGTGCATCGAGGGCATCTGCAGCTCCTCTCTCAGTAACAAACCCAGACTGCAAACACCCTGGCCAGGCATCAGCTTCAAAACAAGACGTCACCGGATGGCACATCACCAGTCTTAGCCCAAATCTGGCACTTGCTTCCAACCCTGCTACCGAAAAGGAAATCGGACTTGCACTGGTAAAGTGAATTATGACTTCAGGAATGAAATTACTATCAAGCAGGATGAGCCAAGATACAGGAGATCCTGTTTGCATGTTTATTTCCTTGACTACAACAAAAACTCAAGAGCACACAAGCAAGTTTTGTTTTTCTTTTAAGAGTGTACGGAGCACAAAGCAAGCTGAATTGCAAGGAAGTTTATGTTTTAACTGTCTGGGAGTCTTTGAAAAGGACTGCCCATAGATCACTTCATATGTCGCATATGTGTTACATTCAAATGAGCTCCTGTCCCAGTAAACTTGCATTGTATTTGAAACTGCACTGGATGCTGGATAAAACCATGCTCACCTCCCTTGGCAGAGGCACTGGCAACACCCAAGTGAGAACCTCAGCTGCAACTCACTTTGATGCCACCAGCATGTCCCAACAAGTCAGAGAATCCAGCATCATCACAGACAAGATCCTGCCCATTTATCAGCGCCTGTACCCACAGCACACGACAGCTCTTGGGGTGATTCTCACCTGCTCTGGAGCTGGTTTCTGAGTTTGGAAAAGGGAGTGTGGAAATGCAACCTGGCTCCAAGCAATGTGTCCTTACCTGAGCCTGGTATCAGGTGTCGAGATGCATCAGTTCAGCTGGAGTTGTCCTCTCCCCTGCGGGCATCTACGTGGCAGGAGCTGGCTGTCTCTGCCGCAGGGTGGCGAGGACCCCCAGCCGCCGCAGCCCCACTGGTCAAATGCCCTGTGATCTCACTCAAGCAGCCCCAGCTCTCCTCTCCACTCCTCCGGCACCGGAGAGCCCACCGGGAGCAGCTGGGAGAACAGGCAAGGCAGGAGGCAATCTCTTCTCCTGGGCTCACTGCAAAGGAAATGAGAAGTTGGTAAGTTTTCCAGTTCTGGCATGGTGGAGCCAGCATCCATTACCAGCACAGGGGGTCTCTGCACACAGGTCCCATTGGAGTGGGCAGCGAGGCAGCATCTCAGCCTGGTAGGGAAGGAAAAGGCTGGAAAGGGAGGGCACCCAATGGCAGAAAGCAAACTGCGGTCATCAGCACTGCAAGATGATCCTTGGTGTGGGTCATGCTCAGATTTTGTTGATTTGGTGGGTTTTTCAAGATGATTTTCCTCCCCACCCAGCTCACAGCATCAGCCCAGCCCAGCACGAACTTGCGCTAACACAGAGGACTTGTTATAGGGATTTTGTCTGGAGCTGAGCAGGAGTGTTACAACTATCTGACCGTACATGCCAGGCACTGGAAAATCAGCCTGTGCACCTCCAGCTGCACAACATCATCTTGTCCGGGGTGTTTGTCCAGGGATGTTCAGCTCAGACACGACCCAGCATCCCGTTTGCCGCAGGGGACTATGTTTTAGCCCATTTTCTGGCCTGGTTGAGTGCTGGGGGATGGAGGGGCTTCCCATACATATCTCAGAATCCCTCATACCTTTGTACCAGCAGACATATGCTATCAGAAACTCAGCAGGCAGAATATGCCCCCTGCCCAAGCCATAAGCACTGTATTACACACAGCTTCAGCCGATCTAAAAGCATACTGCCACCAAGAAGGGATGCAATGGGGGTTCCAGGCTGTTCCCCCAGGAAAAGCTGGGAGGAAAGGGAGAAGCAGCAAATGTGACTTTGGTCAGCTTAAGACCAGTAACACAACATCACTGACTCGCAGGATGGAAGGGGTGGCACCAACAGCACCAGCTCAGCCTCCTTCCAGGACCTGGAGTTCCTTCCCAGCACACCCAAACAGTGGCTAACACAGTGCAGAGGACACCAGAGCCCAACATACCGCTACCATTTTTTTTGAAACAAGCTTTTAATTCTCACCTTAAGCAACCCAGAGAAGCCACGCACTGGTTTCACAATGTGAAATTGAGACATCACCCCAAAGAGTGACGCTTCTGTTGGAAGATGGCCAGCACCGGGAGGGGGAAGTGCACGCTGATGTCCGGGAAAGGAAGCACAGCTCCTTTCGTCATGAGCAGACACTTTAATAACATCACCTCTCCTCTGATCCCCCTCACAAGTACACGTGAATGGACTTTCCCTGCTGTCATCCCTCCAGCACCCGGCCACAACAACTCGGAGACCCCAAAGTGCAGAAGGCTTCACACCCTTTCAGAGGTGGCCACCTTTATCATCAAGCAACCGGTAACACGGGTTACATTACATATACATTATCACTGAGAAGCTCATAATGGGGCTTACACGTGTTATAACACAGATTACACACATTTCCCTCTGGTCTCTCCATTTGCACCGAGCTTTTAAAGTGTGATGGCAAGCCATGGTCACATTGATGATAATACTCTGCCACTAGACTATGGCAATGCCATGAACTCCAAATACATTGACCGAGTCTTTTAGCTATAGAAATAACTAAAACACTATGTAAGGCTGCATTTACATGCCACCCCCCTCAGCATTACCCGTGTACACGGCCAAGCTGCCAGTAAATAAAACCTCAACTCTCTCCCCACCATCCTTCCTGTGCTCCCACCACTTACATCTTGCTCTCGTTTTCACACGCAATACTTTGCACTGGCCTTGGCACTCAGGTTAAGGTCTCATCCTGTGCCCAAGGATGGAGACAGGGCTGATAAAGAGATGTGCTCTCCTCCCTGTTTATGCTTGGTAAGCCCAGCCTTGCTGGTTCTGCAAAGCTCAGCTGCTGCAATGTCAGAAGACGCGGCTTTAGACATGAGCTAAACCCTCTGAGCAGAGCAGTGAGTCTACAGGCAATTCTTCGGCTTCTATTTTTAGACCTCACAGCGAACAAAGGACTATCCCAACATTTCTTTTAAGCTCTTTTTGGCAGGAACTCATCTTCTCCAGACAAAAAAAACCAAACTAAAAAAAACCCACATAAAAATCCCAAGATGCATACTTTATTTTTTTTTTTAAACATCATTATTTAAATGAGTTCTCATTTAAATAACAGAAAAGTGAACTGAAGAATCCAAAAGTCCCATGTGCTGCTTTGGGAATAGACAACTAATTTCTCTCCGCATTCCCTCCTTCCTCCATTCCAGCATTTATAAAAAGGCCAGAAAACCTGGGGCGGGGGTTGGAAAATCCCCTTTTTTGAGGGTGATGCACTGACATGGAAAGGAACTATATAAACACAGAGCTTAGGAACTGGCTTCTTCTGTTTGCTTAAGACTGGAAGAGCAGTTTACATTTCTTTAACCATAAACTAAAGGAAGCTACAACAGGGTCATTCTCCACTTAGACACGCATTCCTCTCAAAATACTGTATTTTATTCTTTTCAGTCCATGTAGTGACACCACAGGACATGCTACTCTTCCCTTTTTACCATCCCCATGGTGTCATTCTTGCCTCCAGATACACATGGCAATTTTGGGTAAGCTAAAAGCTCTTGTTGCATCTCCTTCCGCTATTTAAAATTTTTCCTGCCAAGCCGCCAGCTAGAGGCCACCCACACCTAACACGTGCCTGAAGCAGTGGGGTGAAGACACGTCCTGGCTGATACCTAGGATATCACCCTGGGCACTGTGGAGCTACCAATGGTCACTAGCCAGAACCTAAGGAACAAGGATGCAAAAATAAACTATCCTGCTGCCAGCAGCCTGTGCTCTCCTTGGCACAGAGGGGCGGCATCTTTTTTAAAACACAAATAAGGAAATAACAAATGTACCATTACGTAAAGTCACTGGGACACCCGATGAAATAAACGCATAGGAAGTTAAAAATCCACTAACAACAAGGTGTAGCTTGTCTGTGGAAAACTTGCTCGAAATAATCATTGAGGTGAATGATTTGTAAGTTATAGATATATAAGTTGAGTTAAAGTGAGACCTACGCTGACCGTGTGGGTCTTGCACGGCTTGCCAGAGCCCCTGGCTGCACCCCATTTTTAGGAGGGGAGGCAGCTCCAGCCATTACCCTGACCCAGACCCCGACTAATGCCCACCCCCTAGGAAAATGCATATTTTAAATGAGGTTCTCCAAGAACCACCCTCATTCCTTCAACCACTTTAATGAGTTTACTCAGCTCACACCACCTCCAAATACAGATCCCCATGCAGAAAATTTTTTGTATTTGGCAGCCTCTGCAGAGGACACTCCCTGACCATTTTGCTGGCAGTACCTTAGACTTGTATTACCTTCAAACTGCATCTTCGGACGCAAATGGGTCAGCCATTGTTAACGTCTTTTCTTCTTCCATAGCCCTGCACAAGCATGTCCAGTAATAAAAAACTTCAGGGAAGCAAGTAGTATTTGATCCAACATTGGAAAGTACTGAGAAAATGTCTCCCAAAGGTCTTTTACAGCCTTGAACCATATGCAGGACAGCATTAGGATACACAGTATTTTTAAGGAGTATGAAAGCAATCTTTTTTAAATTATGACATAACCTTTCCCTCCCTTTTTGCTTGTTGATAACTCCTAAAATTACCCCAACTGAACAGTCACAGGAATTTTTGCTATTTCTTTGTGCAAAAGCAACATTTTATATAAACAAAAAAATTTAATGTGTTCCCTTTGAGGAAACTGTTCACACAAGAAGTCCCCCCCTCTTTCCTTCATGGAAAACATGTTTATAAAATCCAGCCAGAGGTGAAGATTTAAGGCAGACGTAATGCTCCAGCTTATGAAATGGCAATGGTTGTGTAGGACACACTGTTAAAAGCAGATTGCGAGCTTAGGAGCCAATTTAAAAATAACTCAAGGGTTCTTGTTTGTTTGTTTGTTTCTTTTTTTAATAGTGTTGAAATCAACATCTGTGTCATTTTGTTAGGGCTTCAAAATACATCTTGTATTTGTACAAATACATCAATGTATTTGGCTGTTACCACTTTACCATGGTCAACCTAAAACTAAGCCTGGCACTAAAAATGGATGCATTGAGACTACTGGGGTTGAAAGACAGACACACAACTTCCCAGCCAGGGAAAATGAAACGGTACTGATAGTTGGGAGGAAGGCATATTATTGCAATAACAGTTTCTGTACTTTAGATATAAGTGCAATGAAATGATGCTCAGGGGAGCGGTGGCAGCACAGCCGGGCAGGTTGGTGCTGGACACTGGGCACAGTGGACACTTCCATTAAGTGTGGAAGAGGACACAAATCTCCTGGCCACTGGCAGCTGGTGAGGTGCCACCCCAGGTAGTCACCAGCACCAAGCAGTGTCAGCTCCCGGCCATTAACAGCTGCCAAACCAGTGGTCCTCACAGCGCGGTCCAAGCCCACGCTGCCAATCACAACCCCATGCACGTGTGGAACGCATCTCCCCATCACTGCAGCGGGGAGTCCCCCAGTCCCAGAACAAAGTCACTCCAGTCCCTGGTGTAAACAGGGTGGGTGGCAACAGCTGGCGCCTTTGCACGTATGCTTGGGGGATAAAATGAGTCTTCCTCTCACTTCCACCAGCCCCACGTTCACCCCAAAGCCCCCAACAACGTTTTTTTTTTCCTTGCAAGCACACCCTCAACACTTGGGGTATTTCCTAATGAGCTAAACACTGGCCTCCAAGGGTCTGCTCGTGTCACCATGCTGCTGTCTCATGGGCTTTACCACAACAGCAGCATTTTTCCCCCAATCTGTGGCAGCAAGGCTGAGCCCCCAGGATCCCTACACCACCTCAAACCACTGTGAACCAGAAATTCAGGCGAAACGTAACTCCCATTTTTAAAAAGGTAAAAAGGGAAGACCCGGGGAACTACAGGCTGGTCAGTCTCATCTTGGTGCCTGGCAAGATCATGGCACAGATCCTCCTGGAACTACGCTAAAGTACACGGAAACGGAAAATAAGAAGGTGACTGGTGACAGCCAACATGGCTTCACTTAAGGGCAAATCATGCCTGACAAACTTGGTGTCCTT